TCTGATGGGGGAGACACAGCTGGCCCTGACCCAGTCTGATGGGCAGGAGCACAGAGTAACAGAACAAGCAGGGGACTCTGGAGGTCCAAAGAGTTGGCTTCAAACCCTTCCTCCCCTTATTAGTAGAGAGCCTCTCTGAGCCTCAGTTTCCTCTTTGACAAACTGGGGACATCAGTATCCACACATGGGATGTTCTGGGGGTTCCATGGGATACAACAGTGAAGCTGCAGGCTGGAGCCTGGCACAGATCATGCAGCTGTGTTTGCGGCCGTGATGAATTAACGATGCTTGAGACCCTCACCATCAACGACCTGCTATCTTTACTGATCCGGGAGGCGGGCAGCCATCAGCACCGTTGTCTCCATTTCACCGATGATACCGCTGGCCCTGAAGCAGGAGGGGGACACCCTGGTCCACAGTGAGCAGGGGCAGTGTGACAGAGGGGCAAGAGCACCAGGTCACCTGCTGTCATTCACACAGTCTGTGCAGCCGTGGGTGAGACCCTTCCTCTCTCTGGGCCTCATTTTCCCCATCTGTACAACCTGGGGGCTGGGTATTCAACCCTGTTGTGGGAGTAGAACCATTTCTTCTCATGACAGCTTTCCCACAGCTCGCGCTATGAAAGTGATAAAACCAGAAAGGCTCTGGCTGCGCTGCCCCCACCACTGCCCCCACCCCGCAGCCTGTTGGCCTGCCTGCCTGCCCTGCCTCTGGCCTGGACAACCTTGCACACCCCTCCAACGCCACTACCCGAGCCCCGGTCTTCAGCCCCTGTGTGCGAAGCTCTTTGTCCTCCACCCACAGCCTCTCATGCACATCTTGGGTGACAAGAGCCCCCGAGTTGCCCCCCAACCTCACTAATCACACAGCAGCAGCAGCTGCAAGAACTTGGACAAGTCAACCTCTCTGAGCCTCAGTTTCTTTGTCTGTAAACTTGGGCCGATCATCAGGAGGCTTAAGCACATAGTAAGTGCTTAGTCGGGGTCTCCATGGACAGTTGTGCAGGTTGTTCATAACTATACACAGCGCCCTTGGCTATCACTGCTCTTCCTTGTTTCTCTGAAACCTCCAAGTGGGCTCGGCCCTCACCGTGGAGTGGAAGTTGAGGAGGAAGCTCCCCAAGCCATTGCCCTCCGCAGGGCCCTGGGACCCACTCCTGTCTGTCCTCTTCATCCTGGCACTCTCCCTGCCTTGTGTGTGCTGCTTCTAGGCACAGACCCGGAGGAGACCATTCTCCATGCCTTCAAGGTGTTTGACACTGAAGGGAAAGGTTTCGTCAAGGCTGATTTGTAAGTGCCCCCTGCCCCTCATTTTGGTTTTTCTTTCCACAAAGTCTCAGGGAATAATGAGTGGGGGTGGGGTCAGGCTGGGTGGCAGCCCAGCCTCCTCTCCCACCCAGAACTCAGCCATCGCTTGACATCCCTTCCCCTTTCTGGACCTCGGAGTCCCTGTCTCTGTGTGGAAGCGTACCAGGAGAGTGCGGTCACCAGGGCCGGGCTTCCCAGTGGTGGGGGTGGGGTGAGGTAAAGGTGGGCCTTGAAGGATGACTAAGGGTTGCCTGGGCTGGGGCAGGGAACATTCTAGATTCAGGAACTTAGCGAGTGAAGGGCCAGGGCTTGGAGTGCGTGGTGTTGGTGAGGAGGAGTGGGCTTTGGCTGGAGGGTGTGGGCGGATATGGGTGGGGTGAGCACAGAGAGTAGGCAGGGTGTGCCCTGGGGGCATGGGAGAGCCCAAGAAAGAGTTAGGCAGGGGCAGCACGAAGGCTGAAGGAGGAGGAGAAGAGAGGCTTGCAGCCTCCATGAGGGGATGACCATCAGGATGGAGGGGAGTGGATGGATACATGAAGCCCCAGGGGCCAGCGCCCGTGGATCCAGGGTTTGGGGGAGAGAGATGGGCCAGATGTTAGCCAGAGCCTTGAGTGGATACCGGGATGGAGGCGGGGCCCCGGGAAGGGAGCGGCTCAGCTGGGGATGCATAGAGAGTGAGGTGGCTGTGGGCAGCTGTCTGGCAGGTGACTGGGCTGGCACTATGGCCACCTAGGCCTGCTATGCCTGAGAGTCTCGGCCCAGCGAGAGCACTGGGCAGAGGGCCACGGGGTGCAGGCAGGGGCGGGCAGGGCGGTGGCAGCCTGCCCAGGGGCCCGGACCCAGTAACTCTGATGCTTCAGGCCTCGGCTTTGAGGCCAGCTTTTGCTGCCTGTTAGAATCATCGTGCAGTGGAGGTGGGCGCAAGAGGGCCGGCAGGCAGGGGGAGTGGGGAGGGTCTGTCTTGCCTCTCCGATGTCCTCACCGTCTCCCACCCCCAAAGTTGTCAGTCACACTCTCCCCAGGGGTAGGGAGGGGCTGCTGAGAGTTTCTCCTGGCTGCAGCCCTCTCCCACTTCACCCCTCCCTCGGGGTCCATGGCTCCCACCTCTATCTTGGGGATCCGGGAGGCACCCCCTGGAATGGCCTGAACCAAGCCCTCTTCTGCCACCCACCTTCTCGCCCACTAGTGTAAGGCAACGGCTGGGAGGAACTCTTTGGGGACCCAGTTTGGGAACCGAGGGTGCCGCTCCCGGGATGTGGGACCTGGAAGACACGGCTGCCCGCCAGGCAGGCCACAGAGCAGGCTCTGGTTGAAACAGAGTCTTGTGAAAAGTCCCCAGCTTGGAGAGTTGGAAACTGTGACTGTCCTGCAGTAACGTAAATAATGGAAAATACGCGTCGGTCCTCAGCGGGGCCAGCCGCTGCTGGCGCCACGGGACACTCTGGGTGCTCAGGGCCCTGCTCAGCCCTCAGATCCCATCCCGGCCCACTGCGCCCCCTGAGAGCCCTTCGGGGCCCTTGGAGCTCCTGGGGGTGTTGGTCCCTCCCACGAAGCCTCGAATGCAGCATCCACGCCCCACCTCTGGCCGCTTCTCCGGGCCCAGGCAGCTCTAGCCCCTGTGGGCAGCTGCTCTCCTGGACCACCCAGGGGGCAGACCCCACCCTGCCACTGCAAATCATTACCCTTCCTGAACCTCAGTTTCCCTCTCTGTAAAGAGGGTAATAGTACTCACTTCCTGGGGCCGTGGAGAGCCAGTAAGACCTGCAGGCCCAGGAGGACGCGGACCTGAGTAGGGGACTTCCTGTCCTGTGGCTGAGTGCAAGCAGCTTGCTCCCTGTAAAGCACTGTACAGACGTCAGAAAACCACAAGCTAAGACAGCAGTGCTTCTAGAACTGAGGCAGTGACCTCCCCTCACTGACCAGGAGGCCGATTATTAGTGCATGCTGGGAAATCAGAGTCCCCCAAGGTCATTTCATTTGGACCCCGCCTGATGCTGGGAGGAGAGTCCACGTCACAAAGGAGGAAACTGAGGCTGAGTGCTGAAGCGGCCTCCCGGGGCCGGAGGGCCAGTCTCCGGGTACTGTTCTCCTGGGACAGGCCTTCAACCTCCACCTGCGCTCATCACCCCTGGGATCTGCGTGTCCACGTGGGGTAGCCCTTCCCCTGAACACGACCGTTTCTCTCCCTTGCGCAGCATCAAAGAGAAGCTCATGACGCAGGCTGACCGGTTCAGCGAGGAGGAGGTGAGGGCCGGCTTTTCGGGGTATGGCCAGCACTGACAGTCCTCCAGGGAGGCGCAGGCCTGCCCTTCTCAGCCCCCATAACTCTTCTTTAGATGACGTCCCCCTTGACTCCTTGGATGGGAACATGGATGGGGAGTGGCTGTGGGACCCTGGCCTGCTGGCCTGGCCTCTGTGCCCTCCCTCCTGATGCCTTCATCTGCAAAGAGGGGGAAAACGTTCTGCCTGACAGCCTTGGGTGACCCCTGCTCCGGCCTCCACTCGGCCCAGGTCCTGGCTGACTCCCTGCTCCCTCCCCAGGTCAAGCAGATGTTTGCTGCTTTCCCGCCAGATGTGAGTGGCAACCTGGACTACAGGAACCTGTGCTACGTCATCACACATGGCGAAGAGAAGGACTAGGAGGAGACCGCAGATCCCCCCACATTCAGAGCCAGCAAACACGGGGGTGGGGGCAACTGTCGGGGAGCTCTGCTCCCCTCGCCCTGTGTGTTGGGGGCGAAACAAGAATAAATAATGCTAACGAGGTCTGAGTCTTGGTGATGAATGCTCTGGCTGGGGAGAAAGCTGAACATTCCTATGTTGTTGGTTTTTCCGAAACTTTTTACTTCCCTGGCTTTGCTCAAATGTTCCTGATGAGCTGGTGTTTAGAACTAATTGACAGTTTTAATGATCCCCAGCTGGGCCCCAGGACACGGCCTTCATTTATCAAGGTTTTATTGAGCATCTAATTCGTGCCAGACCTGGTGCCAGGCCCGGGGACACGGAGACGAGCTAGCCCGGCCCCTGGGTGGGAAGATCATGCAGTGAGAAGGACAAGACCTGGGGAGGAGGGAGGAGCAGCCAGGAGACACCTGGCAGCTAGGAGCTGGGCAGAGGCAAAGAAGGTGGAGAGGAGGGGCGGCTTCAAGGGATGTTTAAGGAGCAGGTGAAGATTTCTCAAACAGGACACACATAGCACCAAACATAAAAAGTGAATAAATTGGACTTCGTCAAGGCAATGTGCAGGGCTGGAAAAGATATTGGCAACACTAGATCTTGATGAAGATTTTATATCCAGAATATAGTTTTTAAAAACCCTACATATCAATAAAGGAAAGATAACAACCAAAAAAAAAAAAATCAGGTAAGTGACAAAAAGGATATCCACATGGCCAATAAAGACCTGAAAAGATGCCCAACCTCATGCTTCATAAGGAAAATGCAAACGGAAACTGCCATAAGGTGCACACCTGCCCCCAGGATGGCTAAAGTGGAGAAGATTGACAATACCAAGTGTCAGCGAGGATGTGGAACAAAGAGAACTCTTAGATTTTGGTAGCAGGAGTGTAAACTTGTCATCCACTTTGGAAAACTGTTTGGCAGTGTCTACTAAAGTTAAAATATATGTTCAAATATTAAGTTAAATATCAAGTTAAAATAAGTTGACCCAGCCATTCCACTCCTAGGTATACACCACCAGAGATGTCCATCATCTATCCTTCCAAAGATTTGTATAAGAATTGACAGATTTATGAGTCCCAAATTGGAAACAAGACAAAAGTCCATCAAGAAGAGAATTGATAAATAGAGGATAATACGCTCCTGCACTGGGACGCTACACAGCAATAACAATAAACTACTGATACACACCACACATGGTGACGCTCACGTATATTACATTGCATGGAAGACAGACACACAAGAGAGCATACTTTCAAAAAACTTTTTATTGAGATATAATTCACAGACCATAAAATTCACCATTTTAAAGAATACAATTCAGTGGCTTTTAGTACATTCACAGTTATGCAACCATCACCACTATCTATATCCAGAACATTTTTATCAACCCAAAAAGAAATCCATCAGCAGTCAGTCCCCACCCTTCTCTCCTCAGCCCTAGGCAACCACTAATCTACTTTCCAACCCTATGGATTTGTGTATTGCAGACATTTCATAACCATGGAATCATACAATATACGGCCTTTTGTGTCTGGCTTCCTAGTACAATGTTTCACCATTGGTCTGTGTCATAGTACTTTATTTCTTTTTATAGCTGAATAATATTCCATTGTATGGCTACGCCACATTTTGTTTATCCATTCCTCTCTTGATGGACATTCGGGATGCTCCCCCTTTTTGGCTATTATGAATAATGCTGCTATGAACATTCATGCACAAGTTTTTGTGAGAACATGTTTTTGATTCTCTTGGGCATATACCTAAGAGTGGAATTACTGGGTCATATGGTAACTCTATGTTGAACTTTTTGAGGAATTAGCAAACTGCTTTTCAAAGCATTTTTTCTTTCTTTCTTTTTTAATTTTTTGCTGAGGAAGATTCGCCCTGAACTAACATCTGTGCCAGTCTTCCTCTATGTTGTCTGTGGGACACCGCCACAGCATGGCTGATGAGTTGAGTAGATCTGCGCCTGGGATCCAAACCTGTGAACTCAGGCTGCTGAAGTGGAAGGCACCAAACTTAACAACTACGTATGGGCCCGGCCCCCGCAAAACATTTTTTCAAAGCGACTGCAACTTTTTACATTTCCACCAGCAATGTTCAAGGGTTTAATATCTTCCTATCCTCGCTAACACTGGTTATTTTCTGGGTTTTATTTTTCTTTATTATAGCCATCCTACTGGGTGTGAAGTGGTATCTCATTTTGGATATGATTTGCATTTCCCTAAGAATTAGCGATATTGAGCATCTTATCATGTTATTATTGGCCATTTGTATATCTTCTTCAGAGAAATGTTTATTCAGGTTCTTTGCCCATTTTTAAATTGGGTTTTTTGTCTTTTTGTTGTTGAGTCATAAGAGTACTTTATATAATCTAGATACTGGACTCTTTTTAGTTATATCATTTGTAAATATTTTCTCCCATTCTGTGGGTTCTCTTTTCACTTTCTTGATAGTGTTCTTTTATGCCTACGTTTTCTTCTGAGAGTTTCATAGTTTTAGCTTTCACACTTAGGACTTTGAGCCACCTTGAGTTATTTTTCTGTATATGGTGTGGGGTAGGGATCGAACTTCATTCTTTGCTGTAGATATCCAGGTCTCCCAGTACCATTTGTTGATAAGACTATTTTCCTCCCATTGGATGGTCTTGGCATCCTTGTTGAAAGTCCATTGATCATAGATGTATGGGTTTATTTCCAGACTTTCATTTCTAGTCCATTGATCTCTATGTCTAAGAGAGCATGCTTTTTGATTCCAGTTATGTGGAGTTCAAAACCAGGCAAAACTAATTTATGAAGTTAGAAGGCAGAATAATGGTTACTTCTGGGGTGGGGAAGGGCCATGAGAGAAACATGGGAGCTGGAAAGGCCTTGTGTCTTGATCTGGGTGGTGGTATTCAGGTGTGAACATATATGAAAGATGATCGAGCTGCACCATCAGGATTCATGCACTTTATGCACTTTACTATATTTATGTTATAGCCCAATAGAAAGGAAGGGAGGAAGAAAAAGAAAGAAGGAAAGAAGGAAAGAGATAGAGAAAAGATGGCACAGTCAGGAGGTAGGAGGGTGGAGATTGGTGGGTGTGGAGGAGAGTTGTGGGGACTCTGCTTTGGTGACTGATGGCACAGCGCCCTGAGGTGGAGAACTCGGAGAATAGCCTCTGGGGAGAGAGGCCGAGTTTGGTTTGGGGTCTGTTGAGCATGAGGTGGCGCAGTCCAGGAGGCAGTGGATGCTATGTCTATGGCTCTAGGGGGCAGCGGCCGTTGCGGGATGGAGAGCCAGGCGTGGGTGAGCCTGCGCAGGGAGAGCACGCAGTGGGACAAGAAGAGGCGGTGAGCCAGCCCCGAGCACTGGAGCAGGAGGGGTAGCAGGCAGAGATGGGTGGGCCGCCAGGCCGGGAGGTAGGAAATGAGGGCTGGAGGATGTGAGGAGGCTGGAGATCAGGTGGAGCAATGTCGACAACACTGCATCCCAAGCGCCAGGCCCAGGCTAGGGCTGTGTGTGCTCTTATTCATCCCATCCCTGTGAGTACAGAGAGGAGACTGAGGCACAGAGCTTGCCCAAGGTCACTGGGGAGCTAGGAGTGGAATCCAGGCAGCCTGGCTCTGAGCCTGCACCCGTAAGCCCTACCCCACACGGCGACCCAGTGCAGCGGGACCTGGGGGCGGGGACTGAGTTTAGGGTCATCACAAGGAGTTCCCTTTCCTTGTCCCTTGTGCTCCTGAGCTCCTTGCTCCCTTTGGGGGAGGTGGGGAGAGCGGAGTCGCCTCAGCCTGGAGCCCTGGCTCAGGACACAGGGCGCAAGATCAGCGAGCAGGGGCTGGGGGAGGCCGGAGGCCGGGTGGTGGGAGGGGGAGAGTATTCCGAAGGAGCCCTCCGTCTGCCTGCTGGGCCCTGCTCTCTCTGCTCTCTAAGAGTCTGGCCTTCCTGGAAATCAAGGACTCAGCTGCTGAGGAACTTGTCAGACCTGTTTGTGTCCACAGGAACCAGGTCAGAGCCAAACTGGAGGGAGTGGGCACCACAGGCACCTGCTCGCTACGTGGCAGCTCCAGGCTGCCCTGCTCCACGACACCCGGGTCTGCCTGCCCTGCAGTGGCCTGGCTCCATGAGGACACGGCGGCCAGTGGGGAAGGCCAGAGGGGCTCCATGTGGCTCAGGAGAGGAGACTGGGACCATTTCTTGGCTCATTCATTCCTTCGTCCTTCAGTCATCCATCTACTTACACCTCCTTTGTTCCAGGGCCCAGAGACGATCAATAACGCCAGTAACAGCCACCTCGGTCGTCAAGGGGCTCTGGGTGAGGGCTGTGGGGGAGGAGCACAGGCACGAGAGTGACCTGGCTCCAGTGGCCTGGGAAAAAGAAGGCGGGAGGTGAGTGGTGGCCCAGTTATGAGGCTGCTGGTGGGTCCTAGGCCCTGACCTCTGCGTCTCTTGGCGTCTCCCCAGCACTGCTTGCTCATGGCCCCTCTCCTCCAGCTGTGGTTCACTGGTGGTCTTGGCTACACCTGACCCAGGCCCACCACCAGCTACCTTCAGTCTCCATGACTCTCCCTCCACTTCTCAAGGGACACGTGAGGCTCCACACGACCCTCATATGGGTTCCCCGGGTCCTCCTCTGGTCCAGGCTGTTGGGTGGTCTACAGAGCTGCCCCTTCCAGGGGTGGGGACTGAAGCTCCTGAGAGCCAGAGAGAAATTGGGAGGAGCACACGTGTTGATGGACATATCAGCTCTCCTGAGCATATCTGGAATCACCTTTTTAAAGATACAAGATCTCCTTGTGACCTCCCCAACCTCCTCCTGTGTCACCATCCTCTTGGCTCTGGGCTCCAGCTGCACAGCTTCATTCCACTCCTTGAGTGCCCTACATTTCCTCCTGCCACAGGGCCTTTGTATCCCCTTTTCCTTCTGCCTGGAACTCTCTCCCACCCAGCACCACCCCCTCCTTTGCTTAATTACCCACTCTTCAGCTCTCAGCTCTGC